TCACAGAGAATGAATTTGCATACCAGTGGCAGGAACTCTTTTGCACCGTGCATTCCTCTTGCAACATGAGCAATGCACTCTGCAAAAGAAACTGCACAAAAGGCGGGAAACTCGTCCCTGCACCGGGGTTTTCCTCTGCAACAGGAAACACTCCCGTGCAATGCTCTGCAACTTGGTGGGGATAATTGTGGTGCCGAAGCACACACACAATCATGCCTTTTGGGTCATGACAATTACTTCACATTAATATTTTCCATTAGGGATTTTTAAGAATTCAAAAGGTCCTGGTTTAGCATTGGTCAATCTGAGTTTAAGCACCAAGCTGAATAGCGCCTTTTAAAAACAACATACTGAACTTGCCTTCTTGAGAGCCAACTATTGCAGCTCCAAACAAAATAGAAGCTTTCAAGCTACACCAATTTCTCTCATATCCAAGAAGATCAGGGGGCATTTTTAGGGCAGACTGAATCTGATAATGCGGGCATGCCATTTGTTTGGTAAGACTGCTGGGAAGGATGAGTAGGACCAAGAGTGAAAGTCTTTTTAAGATTTCAATTTAGACTTATTGTCTGGCTGAGGTAAATTATCATCTGCTTCTGTATATTAATGCTTAAGCTGCCAGGTGGTAAGTGGTATTGTAAGTTAGGTTTTCAGGTTATACAGAAAATTAAGCTAACCAAAATATTAAAAAATCAAATGGGGGAAATAACTTATTATAAAGAGCCAGATTCTAGCTCATTTATGGTATTTTATTCTATAAATAGCCACACTGAGGTCATGGGGCCTATTTGTGGAGAAAGTTATTATTCAACATGAGTAAGAGCTTAGGAATATGGCCTGCAGTGCTGACAAACAGAAAAACATACCTTTCCAACACTAAAGAGCTTACAGTGGGGAAAAATGAGGAAAACAAAACAAAAAGGAAAGTACCCACTTACCAGAGTACATTAGCTTGCTGGTTTTTTCATTATTAATATGACATTTTTCCATACAATAATTTATCATTACCTGTAGCATTCAAGCTTTAAAGGCATTATAGTTGGTTAGCCAGTTACTGTAAATGGTGGCTTTTTTATTCTGATTCTAAAAGTCATAGCCATATACTGCAAAATCTACTTGAATCTTGATTTAAGTTAACATTTATTTAACTTGCTGATATTGAATTTTCTGCATTTTATAGGCAGGAGGTAGGGAAGTGTGGTACCTTATAGATCGACAGATTCAGAGACACCAACTTTTATAGGCCCACTTCATCAAATGCTGTGTATGGACTTGCAGAGATCATTTACCGGTTGGAGTTGTATGTTCAGCTATGCTACTTACACATCCAATCAGGAGCAAAAGGACTCTGCCTAAAAGGTTTTTCTTGCTAATTCTGGATGTGATTTAGTACAATTAGAACCATACTTATTTCAGTTGAGAATCCTATATCAGTTCCTCTTTAGTCTCAGTCACAGAAAAGCCCTGTAAATATACTTTAGAACTTCTTCTAAAACTGTGAATTGCAATATTTGTCTAGGTTTTATTCTGTGTTTTGATGGTGTAAGTAATTGAACATCCCCACAAGTATTTTAAGTGCCACCATAGACTTTAGTATTTGGAGATAAGTCTGCAACACATTACTGCTGTCATTAAATGTTGCATTTCTGAAAGAGGAATTTTCAAGACAGCTGTAGCAAATGCAATTATTTAGCTACAGTTTACAGCTGTCCTTCAGGCATAATGTTTGTGTATTATATCTGGACACTTAAATTTGGCACGCAGATCATAGTTAGAAGGATGCTATAGGATATTCGGAGCCATTGTGAGCTGTTAGTATAGTGAGGATCTTTGGAATTGTTTGGCATTTCAAGGTCAGGGTATTTAAGGGGCAGTATAATTAAGTGTCAGTTGCGTGTAACTGTCTTAATTCTGCAGCTCTAGTTCCCACAAAGGCCTTTTACATTTTAAGGAGTGGTGGCTTTTTTTTTTTTTAGCTTCTCATGCGTCTGGGTGAAGCTCCAGGGGGACAGAACCTGTATTACACCAAAAACTATAATTAAGGTTGAGGTTGAATGTCCTCTTTTCTTTTTTTTGTTAATCAATTGCTCCATTTCAGCTGTTCATATCTTTCTGAGATCATTCCCTTTTGGATATGAAACTCTATGTACTCTGTGGCAAAAGGTAAAGCTTGCATTTCTTTTCTTTCACTTTTTTTCTTTTTAACTCTTTCAGCAAAATACCTTCAGCCATTTTGAGTCCTTCATGCTTGCAAGACTCATATTCCAGTGAGATGTTTTCTTGTAGGATGGCAGGGCAATCAGGAGACTGGAGGAAATGGGGTAGAGGATAGCTGAAACCAGAAAGAGTAGCAGGGTGGCATGAGGCTGTTCGTGAGGGGAGAGCAGCATGGGTGAATGAGGAATTGATGTTCTCAGTGCCCAGAAGTGGCACCTCACACCTTGACCATCCTGTGTTTTCTGCCAGATAAGCTGGCTAAAGGTCAAATCACTTTGCTTCCCTTTCTCAGTTCTTAATTGGGAAGAGATCAGAAATAAGCAGTATATACAGCCCCTTTCCATCTCCTCCATGTGACTGAGGTCCAGAATGGGAGGAGAGTTGGAGTGTTGTGGTTGTGATGGTCCAGGAAATATATGAGAAGCAAGGTTTGGCTTTTTTTTTTCTTGTGGTATCTTTTATTGGACCAACTGTATAGTTGGGAGAGATGTTAGACAAGCTGCTATGCACAAAGTTTCTTCCTTCATGTCTGACCTGAAGAAGGGAAATTTTATGTCTGGAAGCTTACCTAACATCAGTTCAGAACTGGCCAACATCAGAACAGGGGTCAGCAATGTTTTTGGGCAGAGTTCCAAAAACACTCGCAACATCGACGTGTAAGATGTTGATGTGCTAAGGGCAGATGGCAGGGGAGCCACAAGGGGCCTGATCCTTGTTGTGGCACTGTAGCCCGCACCCCTTCTGCAAAATGCCTTTGTGTGCCATGCTCTAGCACCCATGCCAGGGGTTGCTTACCCCTGCCTTAGAGGCTGATGGGTTCAGAGAGGACTAAGCTTTCATAGGCAACAGGCCATGCTTTGTTAGATGCTGTGAAAGCTTAGCCCTCTAAACCATTTATTCTCTAAGGTGTTGCACTGCTACACCCTTTGCCTGACATTGGACTAACACAGCTAACTACCTTGCTCAGTTCAGAACTGGAGGCATTTCATAGTTTCATAGATGTTAGCACCCCTGCACTTGGGCAGGAAAGACTGCTGGAATCAGGTGACCCCAGCAAGATGAGGGTCAAGACTTTTTTTGAAGATCACCAGGGTGGATGACTACCACCTCTGCAGGGAGCATGTTCCAAATCCTTGGTACTTGACTTGTAAAGAAGTTTTTCCTTATGTCTAGCCTGAAATGATCCTCAGTCAGCTTGTACCCATTATTACTTGTCCTCCCCTGGGAGGCCTTGATGCATAGATGCACCCTTAGGCCCTGTTGTATGCCCCTTATATATTTATAGGCTGCCACCAAGTCCCCTCTGAGTCTTTTCTTCTCCAGGCTGAAGAGTCCCAAGTCTTTCAGCCTCTCCTTGTATGACCTGGTGTCTAGGCCTCTAATTATGCATGAGGCCCTCCTTTGGACTCTCTCAAGCTTCTCCACATCCTTCTTGAAGTGCAGCATCCAGAACTGGATGCAGACCTCCAGCTACGGTCTCACCAAGGCTGAGTAGAGAGGGAAGATGCCATCCTAAGCCTTGCTTGAGATGCCTTGGTAGATGCATGTCAGTGTCTGATTAGGTCTGCCAGCTATGACATTGCATTGGTGGCTCATGCTCATTTTGTCAGTCATGACACCCAGGTCTCGTTCAGATGTGGTGCTAGCAAGTGTAGCACTGCCAAGCCTGTAAGTGTGTTGTGGATTATTTCTGCCCAGATGGAGGACTTCACATTTCTCCTGAATTAAATGACATCAGGTTGAGGTCTGCATACCTCACAAGCCTGCCCATGTCAGCCTTTATTGTCAGCCTGTCTTCAGGCATGACCACACTCCCCCATAGTTTGGTGTCATCAGCGAACTTTACTAGCTAGCTTTTAATACCCAAATCCAAATAATTGATGAATGTGTTGAAAAGCACTGGTCCGAGCACAGAACCCTGAGGGCTGGAGCTGGAGCTCTCACTGCCCAGCAAAATGTGAGAATTTAAGAGCCAAACATGGCAGCAAGGAGAAATGGGTGACACTTGGCAGGCTTTTAATTATGTGTACCACAGTAGTGGCCAGGAGACCCAGGCACTAATGAGGGTCCCGAGAATGCTAGGAATTATAAATAGACCATCCCTGTCCCAAAGAGCTGATAGTTTGGTACTTTGATATTACTTAGTTCGGCCTCAGAACAGCCTTTTGGTGAAACGAGCAAGGATGGGAAAACTAAAACACAGGGTGTAGGTGGCTTGTCTGAAGTAACATGGCAGTTTAAGTCACAAAGTATATTCTCTTCTTTTGTAGCTCAGTAGTCATATCATGGCCTCTGTGTTTCCAAGTGCTGTTCAGATGCATAAGACATTATTGCTTATTCTCCTATGTGACCATGATGTCAGTTGAAGGACTCCCCCAGGTGGAAGTTGGCTCCAGACCCCTTGAGAAGCTGTTGTATAGGGGCCTTATTGCAGAATGCTTTGTACCATTTTATTGTACATAGAAACTGCTTTTCTTAAGAAGAGCTCTGGGGAGAAACTATGTTTCAAGGACAAGACTTTTTTAAAAACATTTTTCATTTAAGGAGCCCTCAAAACATTTGGAATCATGTTTTATGGGTCCCAGACAAATGTTGCAGCATATATCACTGAGGTAGGCAGTTTATGAAACTTCATGCAAAATATAATTAAGTATATTGAATGCTCCAAGAAGAGCACAATGCCTGAAGCTTTCTTTTGGTTTCTTTTTTATTAAAGATAAAGGTAGCTAGCAACGTGGTTCCTTATCCATCTCATACATTTTATTCAATACTTTCTCTTACAGTTCCACGCCAGCCAGGAGTGAGCAATAATCTATTTGAAATATTTGAAATTGAAAAAGGGATTAGTGCAGATGAGTATGAAGCAAATGATGATCCAGGTAATTATCACACCTCCCAATTGATACTTTCACTTTTTATTTAAATGTTTCTTTGGCTACAAATGTGTGTGGCGGGACAGTAGGGGGTGCTACTATGTTGACCCACCTGCCTCACTGTGCCCAACCAAGACCACATTTCGTGCGTCTCCCCTGGGGCACCTATGTCCAGCTGACCCCTTTCCAGGAGCGCACCCTCAAGCCTGGGGTTAATCGCTGCCATCACCTGGGCTCTGGTCTCTGTTTGGGCCCTGTGCAGCCTGGGGTACACAGACCTTGCAGACCTTGGTGGGGGTTACCCACTGGTAGTATTTCTGGGTGTTCCTTATAGCCTGGAGCCACCCAGGATGTTTTCAGGTAGAACAGAATCAAATAATCAGCCAAGCTCTGCTAGGAGTGAAAAGGCTGTCCCTCCTCTTGAACATTCACAACTAGGTGTGTTGTATCAGATAGCTTTTATTAATCTGAGAGAGGGAGAACAGGGAAGGAGTACAAGACAAGGAGTATTAAAAAAAAAATGCCTTGAGCAAAACAGAACAGACTTGTTGGCCCTTCCAACACATGGCTAAAGATGTATAACCCTAATTTACTGGCTAAATTTCAGGTAGGCTACTTACAAATACATCCAGAGGATTCTGGAGGCCCAAGCTTCTATGTGTATTTCCAAAATGCCTGCTGGAGGAAGCCCCCCCCCGACCAGGTGACCTGACCTTTAAATAACTTTTCTGACCTCATCACTTCTGGCTTCAACCAGAAACAGACATTATTTGAACCCTTCTGACGTGGTCAGCAGCCCTCGGAGTGACCAGAGTCACCAAACTGGTTCCACAGGTTACTTGGTGGGAAACTCAAGACAAAGGGTCTTGACACAATAAGGAGGAATGGGAGATGGTCCAGAGGAAGCAATATACACAGCGCAAACAAGATTCACAGCAAAATAAATCCAGAGACACTTGACCACACACAACCCCAAATATGTATGGGTGTTACATTCTCCCCACCAGCCCAAAGCGTCCCAATCCTGGGGAAGACAGAGGGTGATTTTGTCACAAAGTGCATAGGCAAAAGTTAAATATGTCTTTTATAGCATCTTTGTTTTAATTCTGTTCCTTAAATGAATTTGTCTTCATTCTTCCTTTACCAACTCAGATTGCCTCTTAAAATTTACTAACACAACTTCTGCGTTGATGTAAAAATAACAAAATGATAATGTTATTCTCCAATGACTTGTTAATGTGGATGCAGATTCTTTTTGTGTAGCTCCTTATGTTGTACTTTATTTTGACAGGTGGACTCGCTTGTAGATTTTATCCATGCCGAGCTGCTGCGTAATTCAGCAGCCACAAGAATCCAGGACTGTTTCTATGCATCTTTGTTTTGTACTTTGTAGGTATCCTGGTGCACAGCTGTAACTTTGATAGTGGTCTCTGTGGCTGGATCAAGGATAAAGATGATGATTTACATTGGGAACCAGTTGCCAATCCATCAGGTAGGACAGTCTTGTTCCACCCCATTTGTTGTAGCTTAAGAGTCGAAGCTCACTCCCTTTAAAATGGGAGGCAGAACTCCCATGGCATTTGAAGAGAAGCAAGGATTTTTTTGGTGATATTCGATCAGCTGTATAATTGGGACACATCAACTGTATAATTCAGGCACAAAGTGCCCTTCCTTAGGTCTGGGAATGAAGCAGAACCAGCTTGAACTAAATAACAAGTAGAACAACAGCTTGTGTATAATTCTATATGTAAAAGAAAAACAGTAACTTAAAGGCATCTAGGAGGCTGTAAGGTAGGAGCAAAGACTGGCAAAGGAATGGCTTTAAAACAAGAGAGTGCAGAAGAATAGATAAGGTAGTTATCATAGAAAATTAGACCTCAGGAGGTCATTTACTCCAGTGGTTCACAACCTTTTTTGGACGAGGGCCTATTTGTAACCGTCGATGGCCAGTTCTGAGCCAGTGCCCCTCTGGTGACCTGCTGTCCCCTGCCCCCAGGCCCCAGCCCCCCCCAGTCTGGGAGGGGCAGAGGGGGGGTGTGGTTGGGGGGGCCCCCAAGCAGCCTCTTGCAAGCTGGAACTCTGCCAGCCTGCAAGGGAAAAGCCACGGTTTCCATGTTTTTCTTCTTGAAAGGGGAATCCATTTCTAAAGTTTGTTCGTTACCCTTTCATATATTCTTGTGACCCACTTCTGGGTCATGACCCACGGGTTGAGAAATGCTGATCTAGTCCAACCTCCTGCTCAAAGCAGGCCAATCCCAAACGAAATCTTCCCATTTGTCTAGCTGGGTCTTAAAAACCTCCAAGGATAGAGAGTCTACAACCTCCCTTTGTAACCTGTTCCCATGTTTTACTACCCCACTAGTGAGAAAGACAGATAGAATCACAGAATTATGTGGAAAACCATTCAGAGGGGGAAAAGGTTGTTATTACCTGTGGAGTGCAATGAGATTGGCAGAGAGAGCAGGTAGATCGTAATAAGCCACAAAGCCATTATCTGTTTTTAGTCCATGGTCTTCAGTGCCAAGGATGGTGATGAATTTGTATTCCTAATCCCAGTTTCTGAAGGTTTTTTGTAGCTTTCTCTTCAGTACAATGAATGTGAGATCAGAAAGGGAGCTGTTGCTCTGGCATTATTAATATTTTAATGTAACAAAACATCTCTCATACTTCCAGCAATTTTCTCAGCTTCTGCAAATCAGATTAGTGTAAAGGTTTTAGGACCCAATTTGGTTTCCTTTAAAAGTATTGGAGTAAATAGCTACCAACTTTGCTACCAAAATCTACATCTACTGAGCACCTAGACTGTTATGTTAGCTTGTATTTCTAAACCAGGAATACTGATGAAGAAACAACAAATATATTCAGTAAATGCTCTCTTTTTCTCTCTAAAGAATTGAGAAGACCAGAAAAGAAGGTATTTATATATTTCATCAGTATATTTCATATTTGAGAGCAAATATTGTAGTTACAAGGTATGAAGTTATTTTTAAAATTTGTGTGTAAATTTAATTTGTGGTTCTTATTGCTAAAATCAGAGGCAAAATTGGAAGTTCTGATTCCTGTTTAAATGCAAGGTTCTACCTTAACTTCCCAACTTACAGCAGAATTTATGGAAATTCAGTATAAAGTAGTTCAGAAGTTTGAATCCCTGGATCCAAACTAGTATTCATTCAGGGGCAGTAAACTCCTGCAGAATGACACTCTGGGAATTAGTTTCTTGACAAAAAAATTCAGTGAAATCACAAACGCACAGGGCTGGAAATCTGTCACCAGTGTATTTACCCACGTAGTACCAATAGTAATACCGTGGCATTATTTTAAACACAGTGCTGAACACCCTAGCACTGCAGAGATGGATTTTAGACACACCCCTCTGGTTCTTCATTAGCTCTCACAGGATTATGTCATGTACTGAAGCGCAGCCTCCAGTACATAACATGCATGTGTACTTGAATTGTCGATAGTAATGGGAAATGCATTCCCGTTTGTAAAATATCATAAGTAGGGCCTGGTTTAAATCATGGGCACCACTTGCAGCACAGCGGCTCCTTGCCCCTGATTGGCAGAGGGGCCTGTCAGCCCTGCTGCACGCTGCTTGCTTCTGATGACTGGGAGGCGAAAACCATCATTTTAAATATGCCACAGTTGTTGTGTCCCACTGCTTGCAGCTGACTGGACTGGATGCCAAAACTGCAACATATTTAAAATTGTGATTTTTGCCTCCCAGCCATCAGGAGCAAGTGGTGGGTCTGATGGGCACAATGGGAACTCCAAAATTAAAGGAGCCACCGCACTGCAAGCTGGGCCTGCAATTTAAATCAGGCCCTAATTATAAGTTAGGGGAGCATGACTGTAGGAAAGTCTTTCCCTCAGCATTTTGGTACATGGGCCAGGGTGTTGCACTGCTGTAAAGGCACCATTGCTCCTTGGGGAAGGCAGGGAGGGTATGGACACTGCACTCCTTTTGCCCAGGGGGGCAGTACTGATTACATTTGTTCAACAGGCTTGCACTGGTATATCTAGAATTAAACTAATACGGTACCTCCACATACTCCTGCTCAGGTGGTATATTTTCTCCCCTCGTGTCTCAGGGGCAGAAAAGAAATAATTATTATAGGCAGATAACTATGTTAGTTAGTTCAGATAACTATTTTAGTTGGTTCAGAAAGTAGGCATGTGTTCTGGAACAGTTTATACAACACATTTAGTGAAGCTTTTTAGGGCCAAACCCTTAGCTAATTGCATCAGTTGGAGCTTTGCATGAGGAAAGAGAAACAGTTTAAGTACTCTGAGTTTGGGCTCACTTTGAGGATCAGACTAACTGAGTTCATCCATGAGTTGCATACAGTTTCGGGATATCACTATTTTTAAAAGTCCCAGTTGGAAAAAATGCAACTTGACTGGCACAGATTGTTTTTTCCTGCCTTGTTTCACCATCGCTTTACATCCAAGGAGAATGTCCAGCTGTTGCTTCATATAGACAGGGAAATTAAAGTGTTCTGCCACAGGCCTTTGTGGAGTTGCACTTTAACCTCCCCAGACACTTCATCACTGACCTCAGGGCAGCTGTTCTTAGGCAGCAAACCTTGAACTGACTTGAACAGGGGATTGCAGAACAAGAAATCATTCAGACACTGGACTATGTTAAGTATGGTCTAAACAAGAAGTACAGATTTTAGCTCTTGTGACCCCTTTGTTTCTACCAATTCTTTGCTTGGGTTTTCCCCCCACCCCACCGCCTCCCTCCCCCTCCTTTCCTACCTTTTGTACTCAAATCACTGTCTCGACTTTATACGTTGCTCTGTGCATGTCCTCCTTTCCCAGCATCTGATGAAGTGAGCTCCAGCTCACGAAAGCGCCTACTATATATATCTCTAATGTAGTTAGTCTATAAGGTGAAAATCGGACTTGCCTTCTGCTTGACTTCAGACTAATATGGCTAACTAGGTCTCTCTTCCAATAGACACACACTGTTGCTATTGACATGACATAACCTGTTAAAATCTGTTTGCAAAACAAACATCCCCAACTCACCACCTTGCGTCACAGATTTAGTCTCACAGCTGGCCAACTAACTTCTGGCTTTTACTTTTCAACCCCCTGAGGTGTATTTTACACATTTAAAAAATCTTCATTTTAAAAGGTGTCCGGGTATTCCTTTGTCAGTTGATCTTACATGCAAAAAACAGGTTTAACTATGAAGCTCCATCCCAGTTGGGGCTTGTCTACACTCGTACCATTTCATTTTTGTACTTAGTCAAATTTATTGCCTACAGCTTTAGGTAAATCAGTACAGTCATCTACAGCAGATGCAGTTATGCTGGTATCAAGGGGAATGTGTCAGGATAACAAACACCCTCATAGCAGTATACCCATTTGCAATAGGTTGCACCAGTGTATTTATTTTTAACATTCAGATGCATTGCTGCAAAGACTACACAGAAAAAAGGCCTAGCAGACATAGCTGTAAGTGGATCCTACTAGATGTACCTGCCTAGAGGCCCTCATGAAGCATTAAATTTAAAACACTTGATTTAATCTTCTCGAAACTAATGTGATATGCAAACATTTTGTTGAAACGGGGACTAAGAGAATATGGATTTTTTCCTTTATTTCATTTGTTTGCAGTGCCATGGCACAATGTTGGCAAAAGTTGCATTAATGGTTGCTTGTAACATAGATAGCTCTGATTTAAAATCGTGTTTTTTTTTTTAAACAAATAGTAAAACAATATTTAAAATGGCCAAACCGAAGAAAAGACATTTAACTCGAGTTTAGGGTAAAAAATGGGACAATTTCAGAGGGCCTTAAATGGGGCCAAGAAGGAATTGTTCCCCCTTCTATTGATACAATTATTTTTTTAACCTTCCTCAGAAGTATTGGCGAAGCCTGGGGCGTTTTGACTGGGGTGTGACAACACGACTGCTGGGATTAAAACCTAGAGGTACCTGATTAGAGGGTCTTGTTCCTCCACCCAGGGTCAGACCGATCACCACAATGGGATTCAGGAAGGAATTTTACCCCATGATCAGATTGGTACAAACTGTGGGGGTTTTGGTCTTCCTCTAACAGGAGGTGTGGCTCCCTTCCTTCAGTCTCTTAAATGCATTTTAACAACCCTTTCAGCATTAGGACATGAACTGCCATTATCCTCCTGCTCTGCCTGTGGGAGGCTAGGGTGCTTTTGGTGTCTTTGGGCAATAAGCCTTGTAGTTGTGCGACAGGGTTGGTTGTGTAGTTTTAGGAATAGGTTAGACAAGGACTCGTACGGAAAAGCTGATTTTTTTATTTATTTATTTTTATTATTATTATTTTTTTAGAATTAGCTAAATGCTGTATATCTCTGCAAAATGGAAAAATATTTCCAGGCTCATTAACTTCAATAGCTGAGATTTTATGTGACCTTTACAACTTAATTAACGTTAAGACCCTTGCAGTGAATTTTGATTTTGACAATTTGCTGGTGAAAGCTGTTTGTTTTTGGTTTAGAACACATGGAGTTCTCAGCTGGATATTTTTAACCTCTTATATCCCCATGTTCCTCGTCAGTTGAGATCTGCAAGATCAGTCTGTGTCCTCTAGGGTCCCATTCCAACTTTTACCTTTGAAATATTTTTTTAATACCTTCTTGGTTTGGTCAAAGGGTTTTTGTAAGCTGTGAAGTTTCATTTATCATAGTTTTATCTTCATAGTTTTAAATGCCAACATGAAAGACTCAGTGGAAGAATTTATTGGGGATTACATATGTTTTTGATTTTGGCTTTGCACTGCCACAGGGACCTCTGCTTTCTATTTATTAACCAATATTTTTATGTAGGTATCTCTCCCTAAAGCAGTGGGGATATAACTAGGCTTCTGAATGAAGTTCATATGTTCAGCAACTGTCTAACATAAGCAGTAGAGGGAGCAAGATGGACTGACTCAAGTTCAGTAAGGTGGTTTAAATGCAGAAATAACACTTGCAGTAGAGACCATTACACAGGGCTCCCTCCTCAAGGGACTGCCATAACCAGTAGGTTACAGCATCAGGCTCCCTATTGCTTGCTCTTGTTCTGGCCCCATGAGTTCTCTACTCTTGGCTTCCAAGGAAGTCAGCTGCAACAGGAGTGGCAAAGGGTGTGCTTATCCAGTCTAACCCACAACTTGGTGAAGCCACTATTCTGGGAAGCTGGAGATAATCTGCTTTAATCACTGTAGAGACCAGAGTTCTTGGCTGCCCTCACCATGAGTTCCTAGGCAAGTGCTATTACTTTTAGGATAATGGGGAAAACAGTTGTTTTGCGTGAAGCTGTATGGATGTGTACAGTGTGCTCTGTCCCCACCCAAATAATTGGGGACTTTAGGTGCCACATCAAACTAGTTGAGATCATGACAGAGCTTAGGTGGGAGTTAAGTCCCTATAACTTTGTTATAGGGCTACTTACCCAGTTTTGGCAGGCTGTCGAGGGCCACATGGGTAGCCCCACCCCTTGACAGGTGCCCCGCCCCCTGGTCACCATCTTGGGACCAGTGTCCCAGGGCCAGCACTGGTGGGGCCCAAAGCAGGGCGCAGGCTGGCAGGGGTCTGTAGAGCTGGGCTGGGCTGGGCTGCACCAGCAGGAAGAGGGGGGAGCTGGTCCGGCTCCATAGAGCCCCTGCCAGCTGGGACTCCGGCCAGCTGGGTCTCCGCGCTCCGGACCCCCTGCTCGGGGCCCTGCCAGCACTGACCCCGGGGCACCAGTATGGGCCCCGTGCTCCCACTGGCTCCCCGCCTGCTCACACCCAGTGCCCCCCAGCCCCGCAGAGTGCACAGCCCCGACCCCCTGTTTGCCAGCAGGGAAGAAGCTGGTGCTGAGTGTGGGGAAAAGCGACCCCTTGCTTACCCCATGGCCGGCACTCGCCGCCTGCACGGGGCTGTCTGGAGCAGACACGGGCAGTCCCAGGTGGGCTTCAAGCAGCTGCAGCATGGGCCACAGAGCAGGGAAGGGGCTGCTTCCTCGCCCCGTGCTCCTTCCCTGCCCAGGGTCCCCCCCGCCCTTCTCCCCCCCCCGCACTTACCTGCGGTTCCAGTGCAGGGCAGCCACATGGTCCTAGGTCAGAAGCCCTGGCTGGGGCTTCCAGCTGCGGGGCAGGGCAGGGCCAGGCAGCCCCGCTGTTGTTGGAGCCTGCTGGGCTTCCCCTGGGTCCTACTGCCCTTGGCTCCTGAAATTTTTGACAGGAACCAAGGGCAGAGAAATATTAATTTTCTACACTTTTTAGGTGCCCCACGGGCCAGATACAATGGCCTCGTGAGCTGTATTTTGCCCACCCCTTCATTAGACCATTTTGAAAGAACTTTTTCTCTTGCAGGTGGACGGTATCTTACAGTCTCTGAATCCAAGGACAAAGAGGGAAGAGTAGCACGTCTGGTCCTGTCTCTTGGCCAGTTGGCTCATTCAGGGGACTTGTGTCTGTCCTTTAGACACAAGGTATCTGGACTACATCCTGGTGCACTCCAAGTATTTGTGAGAAAAAATGGTACTCATGGACCAGCAGTCTGGGGAAGAAGTGGTGGCCATGGTTGGAAACAAACACACTTAACTTTACATGGCTCAGGCCTCAAGAGCGTAAGTACAATTGGATAAGCTGTTTTAGTATTGTAAAATGAGGGGACTAGGAGGTGGAGCACTGGTTCAGTGCCAGCGTACAATTGATTTTTAAATAAAATCAACTGAATTTATCTTTGACCCTGGAGTAATAGGAGAGATAATTTGGACTCCTACATTAGTTTCCCCCTACACCTTCCATGTAAAAACGCCTACAATCAAAAACAGATAAAGGTAATACTAATTGCAGTCAGGAAGACTTGTAAACCAGGTATAGTCCCTCTTAGAAGATGGGCTATAAACACATACTCCATCCCTTTATCCTCTGATTTTCCCTAGTCTTGTCAGAATAGTTTTAAAGATCTGAGCTACCACAACTAAGAGAGCCCATCGGTCACAGACAAACCAAGCTTAATAAATATAAACAAAATTGGGTTTCAAGATAGCAATCCATATATTTTTTAAATGACTACTGATTTCC